TAACCTGCTGGTTGATGGGAAATACGTGTGGCAAGAACCCTTGCTGGAGGCCAGGGAGTCCAGGATAAGTGCAAGTGACCGTTAACCACCACCTGTTCACATTTGCATGAGTGAGTTTGGCTGAAACCACGAGAAAACTTTCAACTGAATCTAGCTCAAATTACCAACCTGCAAAATTGCAAGCTAATAAATGGTTTTTATTTTCAGCTTCTGAGTTCTGAAGTGGCTTGTTAGGCAGCAAAAGTTAACTGATGAAATCAGCTACCACAAAACTGTACCTGCTCACCTAAATCAGGTTACTGCTTTATGAGACAGCTGTAGCAGTAACTCTGTCACATTGTTGAGCTGTAAAATCCACTTGTTGCAGCATTATTATTTGGGACAGAGACATGAAGAATTTTCTGGTAATGGGGAGGCAGTCTGTAGACAAGCAGGTTGCAGAGATAATGTGAAGGTCTCCTTATCCGCTGATCTGCTACTAAATACTCTAGAGTACTTTAGAACTATAATCCATGTGTAGATGTGAGAAAACGATTAGACTTACTCTTACTGGAAAGGAAGGAGAGTTAGCAGAAATATTGCTTTGGTGTTTGTTTTTAGGTGCTTTTGAATGACGTATGAATCTTAGCAACCCTAGGAAGAGCAGATTTGAACCCTGTCCTAGATGACACCTTGTTCCAGTGAAGATGAGTTAAATTCTCAAATGTAATTGGCTCAAAGACAAGAATTCTTCCCCTTGTTGTTGTTTGTTGTTATGTGCCGTTGAGTCCCTTGTAACTCATAGCGACCCTATGCACAAGAGCCCTAAACTCTGCTCTGTCCTGTGATAACCTCACTGTCTTTGACACACCTAGTCCCATTACCCCAGTCACTGAATCAATCCATCTCATCAGGGTCTTCCTCTCCTGCATTGTCCCTCTGCTCTTCCTAACATGATGTTCTTTTCCAAGGACTAGTCCCTCTTTGCAGCATACCCAAAGTATGTCAGACGAAGCTTCAGAATCCTTGCCTCCAAGGAGCAGCTTGGTTTTACCCTTTCCAGGACAAACCTGTTTGTTCTCCTAGTCCATGGTATACTCAGCACTCTTTCCAGCACCACAGGTCAAAGGCATCAATTCTCTTTCTATCATCACTAGTCACTGTCCAGCTCTCCAACTCATAGAACACAACTGCGAAGACTATGACCCAGATCAGGCACACCTTACTCTCCAGCCTGATGTCGTTGCTCTTCAGTACTCTGGAGAGGTCCCTGACAGCTGACTTTCCCAATGCAATTCATCTCTTGATTTCCTAGTTGCTGGTACTGAGAGTGTTGACTCTGGAGCCAAGCAAACTAAAAATGTTAACTATCTCAGTCTCTTCACCATCCATTATGATGCTGCCAATCGGCCAAGTGGTGAGAATCTTTGTTTTATTGTTGTTGAGCTTCAATCCATATTGAAGGTTGCAGCCCTTGACCTTCTGCAGCAAGTTCTCCAGGTCCTCCTCAGTTTCAGCAAGCAGGATTGTGTCATCTGCATAAAGTAGGTTCTTGATGAATCTTCCACCAATCTTGACACCACATTCCTCCTTGTACAGCCCAGCATCCCAGATGATCTCTTGCATACAGATTGAAAAGGTATGGAGACAGAATACATCCCTGCTGCATACCCTTCCCCATTTTTAACCATATAGTAATCTCCTTGCTCTGCTGTGACGACTGCCTCTTGGTCCAAATATAGATTTTGCATAAGCACAATCACATGTTCTAGGATTACTGTTCTTCTCAGAGTCAGCCATAGCTTGTTGTGGTCCACACAGTCTAAAGCCTTTGCGTAGTCAATGATACATAGATAGACATTCCTCTGGCAATCTCTGCTTTCTGCCAAGATCCATCTAACATTAGCTATAATATCTGTAGTACCACGGCCTCTTCTAAATCCAGCCTGCACATCTGGCAGTTCTCTGACGTGTTGCTCCAGTTGTTTTTGGATCATTTTCAGCAGAATCTTGCTTGCATGTGATATTAATGATATTGTTCAATAATTTCCGCACTCTGTTGGGTCACCTTTCTTACATCTCATTAAAGTCATTGAGCAGTCATTAAAGTCATAAAAGCAGTTGAATTGGAACTGACTCATAGCTGATGCTATGATCCTTCAGCAGTTTTTCAGGGGCTGCGATTTGCCCATTTTTTGCCTTAGGAGTCCCTGGTGGATTAGAACTGTTGGATGAGTTGCAAAACTTCCTTCCATGAGAGCTCGCTCTTCCACCTGTGTGTCTGCACACACACAGGGAGAAGTGAGCCTCTTTGAGGAAGACATGTGGTTGCTGCTAAACTTCACTACTGAACATGGCTTCATTCACTTAGTCCTCCTCCTGCCATTCACTCTCGTGGGGATCTAGTCAGTCAGGAAGCCATGCTGCAGCCATGACTTTTCAGGTCACTGGAAAGACACTGGTGGAACCAGAGGTGACCATTCACTGGGTTAGAATTTCTCTGACCAGTCCCAGTGTGTAAAATCCCTGCAAACGGTGTGTGCTGAGTTGATTAGAGACACCTCAAGGTGAAGGGTCTGGTTAGGGTCTTTCAGGACTGAGAGAATTCCTTCAAGGAAAGCCCGTTGTGGTGAAGTTCTCAGAACTGGGATTGTTTCCAGGATGAAGATTCACAAGAGACTTGTTGACTTGCACACTTCTGAGATCCATAAACAGATACTGAGCCTGGAGTAGAGGTTCAGGTCACCAGTGAAGATTCTTATTCTTAAATCCACTATTTTAATAAATTATCTGTTGGTAAAACAAACAAAAAGAACAGGGAGTGGTGACATCTTCCTTAAGACTTTATCTCTGAAAATGATAAAAGAAACTGAGATAAATTTGAAAAATCATTAGCTTCAACAGCAAAAATTGGCAAGAAAGGCATATGGGAAATAAAATGCAGTATTTCTGAAGAAAAGCCTAGTGTTAGTTTGATTCTTACATTGTTCAAGTTTTCTCTTCCTGTTCTTAATTTTCTTAATTTGAGCAGCCTTTTTGAGTCAAGTTTTTTCTCTTTTAGATTTAATTATGAATATCATGTGATATTCTACTTATCGGCTTTATCAAAGTGTTTGCCCTAAGTATGAAGCTGAATCATAATGCACATTTATAGCCAGCAGTTTTCAATTGTATATTTTACAGTTAGGCATGAAAACTTCTGTTAAGTTTCAGTTTGAGAAATAAGAGAGTTATTTTGGATACTCTTTTGTAATTATGGATACTCTTTTCTTTTCACTCTTGGTTAATCAGCCAATTACTTTTTGTTCATTTGTCTTGCCAGAGCCTTTTCTTAACCCAGCTAATCAAATATGTATTACTTCCCTATGACTGCTGTAATAAAACATAGAAACTGGGAGTCTGAAATCAAGATATTGGTTATAATGATTCCTCATGAGACTTTGAAGGAGAGATCTGTTCAATACCTTTCTACAAACCAGTGTTCTTAGCTTGCAAGCTATATCGTCATGTGACTGCTAGCCCCCTCTGTATTTCTGTATCTCTTCACTTACATAGGACAGAAGTCCACTTTCTTGGAAAATTAGAGAGTCAGTGACAGAGAGGAAGACCTTCAGGAAGAGAGATTGACACAGGTTCCAACAATGCGCTCGAGCAGATCACAAGGATGGTGCAGGATAGTGCAAGGCTTCCATCTATTGTTCTCTGCAAATCATAGTTGATGGCTCTTAACAACAACAGCTCAGATTGGATTATAATCCACTCTGCTTTGGTGTAATCTTGTTTTAACTTAACTGATAGTATCTTTAAAGACCTTACGTCTGAAAGGTCATGTTCAAAAGTACCAGAAGTTAGGACTTCAAGGAACATAACACCAACAACAGCAGCATGTCTTTTTTTTTTTTTTAATATACATTCAGTTTCTTTAATCCATAATCAAATCCAAGGCCTTTTTGTATAAATCCCTAAGTATATTAGCAACATTATCCAGTTCTCAGTTTAATGAAGACAAATGATATTTTTCCATTGCATTATGTAGGTAGTAATTTTTCTTGCTACTAGGGACAATGTCTTGCTGCTTAACCACTTGGACTCAAAGCCACTACCATACCACTACCATATATAGATATATTTATATCCATATCGATATATCTATATCTATATTTGTATTTTAATGCCACATATTTTAACTGTTTGTTACAGCAATACTTTATTGGTAAATTTGGTTTCTGTACCATTTTGCTTTTAAAAACAGTTTCTATATTAAGTAATACCATTATTTTATTATCTCATATGGTAAAAATTTATTTCTACCTTTCATGTTAGCCACAAATTGGTACCAGTTCTGTGACTCCATTAACTATGTCTTACTATGGGTTTTAGGCTGAGGAGCATACCTAACGCCAGAGGGAAAATAAAAGTGAGGGAGCATGTAACATCTCTTGGAGCTCTTCAAAATTGGCATTGATAGCAAACAGTTATATTCGTTGACTACAGTATGTTCTATTTCCAAGGCCAGTACTATTCGGATAGAGAAATATCAAAAGCATGTACTGTAAGTTACCAAGCCCAAGGATAGGGATGTATTTTTTTTATGGGAAGAAAATATAATAATTGAAACAATAGTATTACCTACACAGCTACTTTCAAATATATTCCTAAAGCTGTATTTTTAAACTGCAATGTTCTTAGTTCAATACGAACACTTGGAAGCTAACAGTATATAGGAAAATGTGAATAAGGTCACCTAGGGAGAGAGAAAAAAAAGAAAGGGATAGAATCTTCCTGGGAGAGATGTCTACAAAAGAGACTAAAAATTAACCATCCGAGAGGGAGGCGGCAGGATGAGGAAATAACATATCCTGGATCCTTGTTAAAGAACTATTTCTGTTCCAACGGTTACATTTTTTTTTAAAAGCCTGAATGCAAATGCTTTAAATCTATCCAATTTTTACCCTCACAAGACTTAATTACAAAATAACCTAAGAGAGTTAACACTCAAATGTATTTATTTGTTATTACAGAGATTTGCCACAATATGGACAGAAGCAGTGGCAGTCCTATTTTGGAAGAACTTTTGATGTTTACACCAAGCTTTGGAAGTTCCAGCAGCAGCATCGGTAAAGGGATTTTATAGTTAAAGGATTAAGGTTCTATTTCATGGTAGTCACAGTTTTTACTTTTATGATTTTGAGGATTTTTTTTAACCCCTTCTTGGTCCTTTTTAAAAAAATTTTATTATTTTTTGTAGATCTGACTGGTACAGGAGGAAATTACCCCTCCTTCTCCAGCAGAGCATCTGGTGGATCCAAACCGCATACCTCTGGGACTGCAATGCAGCTTTTAGCCACTAAAAGAGCTCCCTCCCCTCTTGGTACTTAAAAAAAATATTTTATCTTTATGAGTCAAATGAAAACAAACAAGTTTATTTTGTTATAAAGATTTTAAAATAATGGGAATTCCAGAATACTTAATTGTGCTATGCGAAACCTGTACTTGGACCAAGAGGCAGTCGTCAGAACAGAGCAAGGAAATGCTGCATGGTTCAAAATCGGGAAGGGAATATGTCAGGAATGTGTCCTGTTTCCATAACTTTTCAATCTATATGCGGAACTGATCATCTGGGATGCTGGGCTCTATGAGGAGGAATGTGGCATCAGGATTGGAGAAAGACTCATCAACAACCTGCATAATGCAGATGACACAACCCTGCTTGCTGAAGAGGACCTGAAGCGCTTGCTATAGAAAGTGAAGAACTGCAGCCTTAAATATGGATTGAAGCTCAACATTAAGAAAACAAAAGTTTCTTACCACTAGGCCAATTGGAAGCATCATAATAGCCAGTAAAGAGGTTGAGATTGTTCACAGCTTTAGTTTGCTCGGCTCCACAGTCAACACTCTTGGCAGCCAGGAAATGAAAAGATGTATTGCAATGGGAAAGTCTGTTGTTAGGGACCTTTCCAAAGTACTGAAGGGCGACCATGCCAATCTAGAGACTAAGGTGCACCTGATACAGGCTGTGGTCTTTGCAATCACTTGCTATGCATCATCAGAGAACTGGACAGTGACTAGGGATGATAGAAGGAGAATTGATACCTTTGAGCTGTGGTGCTGGAGAAGAGTATTGAATATACTAAGAGAGTGAACAGGTTTGTCTTGGAGAGGGTTAAGCCAGGCTGCTCCTTGGAAGCAAGGATTCTGAAGCTTTGTCTGATATACTTTGGACATGTTGCAAGGAGGGACCAGTCCTTGGAGAGGGACATCATGCTTTGGAGGGTGGAAGGACAGCGCAGGAGAGGAAGACTCTGAGATGGATTGATTCAATGACTGGGGTAATGAGGGTAGGTGTGTCAGAGACAATGAGATTGGCACAGGATAGAGCAGAGTTTAGGGCTGTTGTACATAGGTTTGTTATGAGTCACAGGTGACTTGATGGCATATAACAACAACATGGTACCTGGTTTCCACTACCAGCCTCTCTGATTGAGATTGCAACAGAGGGTCCCAGATGAAGTGGGAAGAAATCTAGAATAAAATATCGATTCACAAAAAAGATCAGACTTAATGATCTGACTGAGTCTAGAGGCACCCCTTTGATACCATTCAGACCTTGAACTAAAGATGTTCTAACAGCTCACCTTTCACCTAAATAATAGGCCCATAAAATAAACAGTAGCACCTGAGAAGAACATGTTTCTTAAAACAATATCCCTTTTTACCAAGATGTCACCAAAGGTGAAGAAGTAAGCCTCTGCCCCTCCCAAACCTGAAGCCAAAGCAGAGGTATTAAAGGCCAGGAAGGCAGTCCTGAAGGGCATCCACAGCCACAAAAGATCTGCCTGTCACCTACCTTCTAGCAGTCCAAGACGATGAGACTGAAGACAGTCCAAATACATCCTCCCACAGAACAGTGACCCTAGAAGACGTTTTCCCCTGACCACTGAGTCAGCCATGAACAAGCTAGAAGAACAAGCTTGTGTTCATTATGGATATCATGGCCAACAAGTACCAAATCAAACAAGTTGTACAGAAGCTCTGTGACATTGAGGTGGCCAAGGTCAACACCTTGATTTGGCCTGATGAAGAGAAAGTGCTCCTGAATAGAATGCTTTTGGGTGTTGTCAACAAAATTGGAATCATCTAAACTGAGTCCCAGCTGACTAATTCTAAATACAAATTTTTCTTTTCACAAAAAATACCCCAGATTAATTATATGAGATGAAAAGGATATTTGCTCAAAAGCAAAAATTGAGAAGGCAGGGGATGATAAAAAATCTGGATGAAATGGATGGGAAACATGGAGTGTAAACAAAGAGTGCTGACATATTGGGAGGAATGCAACTGATATCATAAAATGCTTTATTTACAAATTATTAAGTGGAAAATGAATTAATTCAGTAAATTTTCACCCAGAGCACTATTTTTTAAAAAATTAAGACCTATCTAAAATGATTTCAATTAACTCCAACATGGATTAGATTATTTATAGTTTTATTCTAAAATTGTTGTTGTTTATCGACCAGAGTTACTTGAGGGATATTGCTTTGAATTTTCATGAATGTAACTCAAAGGAGTTTCTTTTTATCTTTCTCCTCATTGTAAATTGATCTTTAAGTATTATTTGGATTTAATTGAAATAGCATGAAAAATTAATAAGCTTAATAAATTGGATGTTAATTTCTAACCCGATGAGTTACAGATTTTATTGACGTGGGGTTTTTTAAATTTACGATCTTTTTATTTTTTATTTTTTGTCTCCTATATAAAATAGACAAGTTCTGGATAACCGGTATGGCTTGAAGCGATGGCAAATAGGAGAAATTGCTTCCAAGATTGGGCAGCTCTACTACCATTATTAGTAAGTGAATCGAATGTGGAAAGAAACTATATATCTAATTGAAACACAGGACACTGTATCAGAGGTAAAGAGTACACACACTTCCTAGGAGGGAAAACACTAAGTTTCAAATAAAAGTTCAAATTGATTAAGACAGCATTATTTTATGACTTTCCATAATTAACATTATTTGCTTGAACAACTGGCCTTCCCAACAAGTCTCTTGTCATACTTATTTATAGCTTAAAAAAATTTGATTTTGAATTTAAATTAATGATCAATACTAAAGAAACTTAGAGATATAGTGGCTTTACATAAATCTTAATATGCAGATATATGTTACAACTTGTATATATGAATGAGTTGTTTTCAGGAGTATAAAAACAACAAAAAATTTATACTAGTGGACTGTACATAAAAGATAAGTGGATAAAGATAGTTTTGTGAACTGATTATAGCCTTTGAGCAGTATCATCTAAATGGTTCCTCTGTAGTCACAGAAAGAACTAAATGTCATCATCAATAATATCAAGCACACATGAAAATTATTTGGACCGTTTATAATTTTATAGGCAAGAAAACTCCTTTCTCTTCCTAAGTATTTTTCTCTTGGTATGCCACTGAAAATTTCCCACCTTAAAATAATTTTCTATTCATTGAAATGAAAAATAAACAACCTAAATTGAAAAAAAAATTTTCTAGGGGTTAGAATATTTTCTTGAGGCCCTTATAAGACAAAACATGTTAAATATAAAGTGTAATCATCATCATAATTCCTTCAATATAATTGGATTAGTATTCATCAGAATTTTCTGTAAAAAACTAAGGAAATGGGCCAAACAAAAAGTTGACTATCCATGACTTTGGAGAAAGTCATGAAAGGTGTGGTTCTTTCTGGGGGAAAGATTTAATAATGAAGAATGGTGTTTGGAAAATACCTTCAAATAATAAGAATATACACACTCCTCACCAGCATAGTTAGGTTCCAAAGACCAAGTCATTTTGCAAAATAATTGGCGTTATGGGAAAGTGGCCAATCCCCATGTCAGTTCACCAAAATGGAGGATGACTACATTGTTTTTGGAGTGCCACATTACACCATTGGGTATATTACAACCAAACTATATCATTACATAACAGCTGAACCACTAAGAATCATGACCCTGCCAAGTTAACATAACTTAACCATCACAGCCACAATCTCACATCTCAGCATTTGTTACTGGCAGGCATATGTTACAAGTGTTCAAAATACACTTGTGGAAGGGTGCTCTGGTGGCCTTGTGGCAAGAAGCTGCACTGTAATCCCAGAGGTGCGCAGTTTGAATCCTCCAGATGCTCTGCTAGAGAAGGAGGGGAAGTCTCCTGTACTAGTCAGATCCAATTTGATGGTACACACAAAAAAATATAATAAAAAAATTAAAAAATATACTTGTGGATGATAGATTTTTTTAAAACTGTAATTATAAATGAATTAGAGATGTCAGATAATACAGTAAATGAAGACTAAGGTTTGGGAGCAGTGAGCAACTGTCTTTTAAAAATAATCATTAATTTGCACATTTTAAGGATGACATGATTATTGTTTGCTAATTCACATTTAGGGAAATCATTCTCATCCCCTCTCAGAGGGCAGTGGAATAGTGGTGAGATGATTGTTTTCTTGATGAAGAGTTTAAGGCACTCTGAAATGTAAAATATGGATTTTTTTCTTCATAGCCTACGCACTTCTGAGACCAGCTATCTGAATGAGGCCTTCTCCTTCTATTCTGCAATCCGGCAGAGATCATATTATTCTCAAGTCAATAAAGAGGACAGGTATGGGCCTATTAAATTTTTAAAAATATTGAGTATAAAATTATTAATATCTTTAGTATATATGGAAATTACATAGAAAACAATACATCCTCTTCTTTACTCAGTCTGTATCATGTGCTTTCTATGTACTGAAGGCACCATGGTGTGTAATTTGTCAGGATGTGAACCAAAAATTGACTGATCTGATCCACCAGCTGCTCTATAAGACAAGGATGGTCAGTCTCCCGTAAAGCTTCAAGAAATCCAATGGAGGGTTGCTGAATCAGAACTGACTTGAGAGTCGTGGGTTTGATTTTTATTTACTATATGTAAGTCTAATTACCACATGGTGACGTAGTAGTAAGGAGTTGTGTTGCTAACCAAAAAGTACATGGTTCAAGTCCACCAGATGTTCTGCAGGAGAAAGATGGTCAGTTTACTCCCATGGGATTTTCTGCCTCTGGAACCCCTCTGGAGGATCAGCTATGAATTAGTTCTGACTTTGCAGCCCATAACAACAATAAAAATACATAAACCTACTTGAGAGAAAATTCCGAAATATAAAATTACTTTAAAATAATGAATATTCCAGGTAATGTAACAGATTTCACAATACCAGGGTAGAGTCAGAACAAAAAGGAGGCTTGGGGCTGCTTTTTCATGAGAGAATATGGTCATACAGTGCTTAACTAGAAACGAAACAGCTCCAAAGGGAGGCTTATTGATAACCTTTGTTTTTTTAAACCAATTTTTGATGACCTTATCATAATTTACATATATTCAGAAGTCTGTAAAAAGTGTTATATGGGACTAGATAAAGAGACTGCTAATGCTTTTTAATTTTCTTTTATGTACTCAATACTGTTTGTCAGTAGAGTAGCTTTGTTGTTGAAAAAAATGAATCATGTACAATTTACTCATTTCCAATGGAAATCTACTGAGCACTTACTATACTTTATCCTGTGGTAGATGGCTTGTATAAAAAAAGAAAACACAGAAGAGATGTACTCTTTTACTTAAGAAAGCTAATCTTTTATTGGGGGTTAGGGACATTTAGGGCTATAAATTGTTAGTTCCAAATGAGGATAGAACTATGAAATGTTTGGCATCAAATTTGGTTCAGATGGAGTTTTCTGAAACCTGTATTACTAACATTCCAAGAATTGTTGGAAAAAAGTTCAGACATAAAATATCTGAATTTTTCCCTCTATATCCAACAATAGAACTCACAGTTGTTATATGGTGAAAAGATTATATTCTCTTAGCAATGGAAGAAAACATAGTCTTAAAATGTTTTTCTAAAGAACACGTTGTGATTCATTATTATAAGCCTTACAGCTATGTAGTGACAATTTTGAAAAGCCTGTCTTTTGAATCCCCTCATTCCTTTGTACAGTTTGTTCAGACTTGTCTAGAGGAATTCTCTTGGTACAAATAGAGCAGATAGGTTCTAAATCCTGCAGTTGCCCCTTTGATAGCATTTTGTCATCACCTCAGTTCATTATTCTATCAGTTGTGTAAGTGCCATCTGTTGTTTTCTTTTTCGGTATTATTTTTATTTGCTTCATATATTGACTACATATATATTTTAGGGAGTTCTAGTGGCCTAGTGGTAAGAAGCTACTTGGTTCAAATCCACCAGTTGCTCTGTAGAAGAAGGATGGGTATTCTCTTCCCATGCGATTTACTGCCTGTGAAAACTCTCTGGAGAGTCAGCTGTGAGTCAGTTTCGACTCAGTGTCTCACACACACACACACACACACACAAACACACACACACATATTTTAACAAACATTAATTTTTGTTGTTTATAGACATGTTATATAATGGTGTTTCTAAAAATAAACCCCACAAAATGCCTTGTAGGCATTTTATTAACAGTAAGCAAAATTTTGTGAGGTGGATTGATTCAGTGACTGGGGTAATCGGGATGGGTGTGTCAGAGGCAATGCGATCGGCAAAGGATAGAGCAGGGTTTAGGGCTGTTGTACATAGGGTCGCTATGAGTCGCAAACGACTCGATGGCACATAACAACAACAACAACAACAACAAGCAAAATTCTGTTTAAGCATTAGCAAAATACTTTGTATCATTCGCTTTTCTGTGTTTTCTAATTTGCTAAAGAAGTTAACTCTAAGTCCTTATGTTTGATTAATAGCAAATCTCTTCTTTAAAAGCACATCTCTCTCTTTAGCTCTTATTGCCACCAAGTCAAAACTGATTCATGTCTGACCCTTTATTGGGTTTTAGAGGCTGTAAATCATAGGGAGATTGCCTATTTTTCTCCTGAGGAACTGCTAGTGGACCTCCTGGAAATGTCAAGCCTGTGGGGTAACAGCTACACTCTCTGTGTTATTGTTGTGTGTACCATAGAGTCAGAACCAACCCATAGATGACCCTCCAGTGGGTTTTCAGAGGCATTAATCACACAGGAGGAGATTCTGGGCTAATAGCTCCTTTTTGGTAATTAGCTCCATTAATGGCAAATACCACCTATGTATTTTTTTTCCTGTGCCTCCTAAAGCAAGGCAGTTTAATAAAGGTAATTTAGGATGAAGATGACAAAACATTTCACCTGAGGCTAGTAAAATTAAACTTAACAGACAGTCCATTGTACAATCCTTGGCCTTAATCTATACATTTAGAGAAGGCCTTTTTCAGCTGGTAGATTTTTTTTTCTTTTTATCTCATACAAAATTGTAATCGACACTAAAATTTTCAACCTGTAGCTAAAACCAAATAAGAAGAAAGAAATTAATTTGCCACTCCATTTTAAATTTTTTTCTCATTGACGGATAATGAGCTTCTCCAGCTGTTCTTTCCCCAGATGTAATCGATCTGATTCCTGTGCATACCATCCGGTGAAATCCACGTATATAACCTGTGTTTATGTTTCTTATAAAACGTATTTCCAATGAATAAGTCATTGGTCATGCAAAATTCAATCATTTTATCTCCAGCTTCGTTCATCACCTAATCCATGTTTTCCAACTACTGATTCTTCTTCTCTGTTCCCAACTTTTGCATTCCAGTCACCCATTATTACCATTGCATCTTGATTGCATGTTTGATCGATCTCTGACTGTAAAAGTTGGTAGAAATCATCTATTTCTTTTTCTTTGGCTCTGGTTGTTGGTGCATATATTTGAATGATAGTGGTATTCACTGGATTTCCTGGTAAGCATATGGATATTATCTTGTCAATCACAATGTTGTACTTCAAGACGGGTCTAGAAATTACTTTTTTAACTATGAAAGCAACCCCATTTTTTCTCGCCTTTTCATCTCCGGAGTAATATAGCATATGATCATCTGACGCAAAATGCCCCATGCCGGTCCATCTCATCTCACCAGTGCCTAGTATGTCAATATTCATGCGTTCCATTTCTTTCGTAACAATATCTAATTTTCCTACATTCATGGTTCTCACATCCCATGTTCCAATCACTAGTGTCTGCTTACAACTGTTCTTTTCCTTTAGATTCCCATACTTGAAAGCTCTACTTCAGTTGCCCTCTCTGTTAGTCTACATGTGTTCTATTGTACATAGGGTTTTCAAAGACCTGCTATTTTGGAAGTGGGTGACCAATCCTTCTTTCTAGTCTGTCTTAATGTGAATGTTCAGATTTAGAGAAGTATCTGACAGATAAGCAGTTTATAGAAAGTGAAAGATATATCCCTCATTGTGGAGTTAACCATTAATTACAGTGTTGTCCCTGCCCTTGGCCCAGTGTCTTGACCCACTTATTTCTCAGCTCCACCCTCCACCGAGATACTCCTTCAATTCTACCCACTCCCTTCAGCATTTATCTTCCATTGTCTAAACCTTGGTCTGACAGCTTGTATCTGAAGCTTTCTTGGCTTCTGTGATTCCAAACACATCACCTGCTGACAATTCCTTATGCTGTAACCAGTGTCTCTTAAGTTAGTGGTTATGTCCCTGACGCGAGGGTGATATATCCTGTAGAACTCGTGTGTAGATTGTATTTTCTTCTTGGCCCAAAATGCTTGCTACAGAGTGTCAAGGACTGCAGCCTTCGGTATGGATTGAGGCTCAACATCAAGAAGACAAA